AGACTAGGTGGGGAGGCTGGGTGACTGGACCCAGGAAACAGGCAGGAACCAGTGGAAATGAGTCAGCAGGAAACCCAGCCGAAGATGTGACACAGGAACATTACTCACAGCCACAGCCACTGGCCAGTCCACTCCACAGCCACTGCTGCAGTGCTCTCTGAGGGTGCCCGGGTCTTTGCATCATCACGCCCTCCATGACCATCATTGCCAGATGGAACATCCTGTTGGCTGAGCCAAGAGGCAGGACAGGGGATGTCTGGCCTCTTTTAGCTTCTGATGGCAGGGCCACCAAGACCTTCCAAAAGAGTGGAATTCCCACCAAATAGGTAGGAGATTTAGATGCTACATAGCTCCCCCCTTCTTCCTCCCCCAAGAAAAATCAAATGTTCACAATTTGGAAATATCTGGGGCGGGGGAAAGAACGAATATTTCTATCTTCTTCCAGTTTTAGTTCAGAGACTTGGTAGGTTTTTAAAGGAGATATTTAAGATGCAGACTATTCATTTTGTCGCACAGTGCTTTGGGAGCAGTATTGGAGAGAGGGTTAAGTATGTGGCTTGAACTCTGGTCAGACCCGGGTTTGAAGGCAGTTCTGCTAGCTGTGTGGCCATGAATAAGCAAATGAGTCTCTCTGAACCTATGCTTATCTGTAAAATGGGGTCAAGCTTTGGACTTTGAGTTTCAAGCAAGATAATGCTTGTAAAGATCTTAACAGTACTTGGAACTACCAGCTGTTATCATTCAGTGACCTGCCCTAAGGTAGGAGAAGTGAACATGGCCACTTTGGGCCATACACCTGGGGGGAATCTGACCTGTTTTCAGTCCAGGCAGCTAGAGCCACACAAGGGGAGAGAATATCCAGATGTCCTCTCATAAATACTCGTGTTTTCCCCTCATTCCTTTTATTGTTTAGGGGCATGGGCTTTGGTGCAAGAGATTTGACCTAAACAAGATTGCCCTCAAGTAAGTTACTTGACTTTGTCTAACCTCTGATTTTTTAAATCACAAAATGGGAATGACAACATCTACCATGTAGCAGTGCTCTAAGAAGTAATTAAGATAATTTATGTTAGGTGCTTAGCACAGTGCTTTATATTTATTGGTCCTCATGGGGTAGGAGAGAAGTGGCACCTCCTAAGATTCACCTCTTCCTGTAACACTAGTACATGGAAGTTTCTTTAATGTTTAATTCATCTGGCAGGGGTTCTTTGGACTTCTATCAACAAGAAAAATTTAGTGCCCCCCCCCATTTTATTATAATTGACACATAGCTCTGTATAAACTTAATGTATACTGCATTTGACTTGACATACATATATTGTGAAAGGATGACCACAATAGGTTGAGTTAACATCCACCTCTCAATTAGTTACCACAAAAATATATTTTTTCTTGCAATGAGAACTTTTAGATTTTAAAAATCATCTTGACAGTAAAAGTCACCCTTGTGGAAAATGCATGTGTCCACATAACAAAATAGATAAACCAGATTCCTGGCAGCATACAGGTCCAAGGGAAAAGCAGGTTTGCATGGAGTTCTCATTCAAGTGATGTTCCTCAGGAAAGGATGCTGTGGCCAAATAAGTTTGGCATATATCACTGCACCCCCCACCCCCTTTTAGGGAATTCCATTGCATATCATCAGTTTATCAAAGACTTTAAGAAGTGCTACAGCCCTAGCCAGTTTGGCTCAGTGGAAAGAGCGTTGGGCCTGCAGACCAAAGGTCCCAGGTTTGAGTCCAGTCACTGGCATGTACCTTGGTTGCAGGCTTCTCCCCAGCCCCAACCGTGGTCGGGACTCAGGCAGGAGGCAACCAATCAATGTGTTTCTCTCACATTGATGTTTCTCTCTGTCTTTTGCTCTCTCTTCCACTCTCCCTAAAAATCAATGGAAATATCCTCGGGTGAGGATGAACAAAACAAAAACAAAAACAAAAGGAAGTGCTACAACTATCCACCAAAAAGATGAAAAAGAACCCTACAATATTACCCTAACACAGCATGAATGAACAAAAACCTTCAGCACGAAGCTTGAATAACACACTTGGCTAAATGCTGAGGTTGTCACTTCTGAAGTAAATGGTTCATTTTTGTTCCCCTTCACTCCTATGCAGTAGAGTCCCAAAGTGGTAAGAATAAGTTCACGGTCCTCATGTATTTCTAAGCAAAGTTCTCATAGGTATGGTCACTATATTACAGAATTAAAAAGTGGGGCTATTTTAAAGTAGTGGTAGCACCTGAATTCAGCACATAGGTTTCTCCAGCACAGACCTAGGCACACAGGAGGGATTCACTAATTGAATTGAGGTGAATTTCTTGGGAAGAATGTTTATTTTTGCCCCCTTCATGTTACTTGCCTGTCTGATTTACACACACAGTCTAAGTCTATAGGGCATGAAACTTTGTATCATTAACTTATTAAATGAATTATTATCAAATACCCCATCATGATATAAAGAGTGACTATGAGTGATAATGATCAAAACACTAAAAAAGTGAGTAATGAAATAAATGCTCAGAGTGAGAGAAGGAGAGGTGTGAGTCATATGGAGAGAAAAAAGTTTAAACAGAGAAGGGGAAATAGGATGTGAGAAATTCTCATCACCATCAATATCATCATCTTACTTGTGTGCTGCCAAGCATTATGCTGAGTAGTTTATAGGCAACATGGCAACAACCCTGTGAACTATTACTATATCTCTACTCATAGGTCAGGAGAGTGAAGATTAAAGAGGGACAGATTCACAGTAGAAAGTTAGAACCAAGATTTGAACCAAAACACTCTAACCCATAAACTATGTTTAAGTAAAATGTCATAAGATAAAAATTTCTCATTTAAATAGTATAATAATTGGAAGTAATATTCTTAACTCAGGACCATGAAGCTAATAAATTTTTTCACACGATCAGCAATGTGTCAGAAAAACAGATATAGCAACTATAAACTTCTGTATCATTTAAAGGGTAAAATTATCCTCCATAACATAAGTATACACCCAGGGGTCTTCAAAGCATTTAAAAATGCACAAGCAACATAATAATAAATATAGGGTGGGCAAAAGCAGGTTTATAGTTGTCAGTGTGTGAAACAGTTTATTCTTGTGTTATTATTTATTAATTATTGTATTGTTTTCCATACAAACAACTGTAACTCTACATTTTGCCCACCCTGTATAGCTCTTTTCAGAATCTACTGTATCATAGTGTGATTAATTATGTAAGCCACACTAAACAGTTAATTAAAGGTAATTTCATTTGTCTCCTTAGACTTTAGAAAAACTTTTAGGATGTTTGAACAGGCCAGGGGTGTTTAAAAGCTGCCTCAGCTTGGCTGGTGTGGCTCAGTGGTTGAGAGTCAACCCAGGAACTAAGAGGTCACTGGTTGGATTCCTGGTCAGGGCATATGCCTGAGTTGCGGGCTTGATCCCATGTAGAGGGCGTGTGGGAGGCAACCAATTGATGATGTTTCTCATCGCTGTTTCTATCTATCTTTCTCCCTTCCTCTCTCTCTAAAAATCAATAAAAAAAATTAAATGTTTAAAAAGCTGCCCCCCAAATTTTACAACTTGCCTTCTTCTTTCCTCAGTGCCTTCTATTTTTCTCATTATATTTAAGATTATGTCATTTTGTTCAAAATCAGACTTGACAGCCATCGGAGTCCTTTCTACTCTGCTGAGAAGCTATACAAGTAAAGGAGGCATCAGAAATGTCTCAGAGACATGCTTAGGCAGGCAGGCAGGCAGGCAGGCAGGCAGACTATCCTACCTATGGTGTATGTGTATAGTAAGTATGTGTGCATACTTGTGCATGCATACATGTACAT